AAATCATACAAGGCTGGCACACGGCACTCGGCCAACACACAACGCACCTGGGACAGCACAATCCCAGAAAATTTAGAAGAAGAGAGTGCTCATTGAACCACCCATCTCGTTTTGCTCCCGAACAAAAACCTCATAGTACTGGTAGATAGTTGTCACCGCTAGAAGAATGCCGGTTCCACTGCCAATTGCGCCTTGAGGGAAATGAAGGACTCAAATCATCGACGTATAAACCGAAATAGCTTTAAAACAAAGTACATTGGCATCTGACTGCGTTAAAAAGACCGTGTGGTTCGGGCAACTACTTGCTTCTGAACAGATTTCCCGTCGTTCCAAGCAGCAGTCAGTAACGGAGTATAAACAAATCTAACCGATGGGGTAACCGCACGATGAAACACTGGAGAGCATGCAAACAATCCAGTCCTAGCATCATAGAGCTTTAGAAAGCTCTTGCCTGTCTGGAAATTAGAGTATATGGAACACATACACTTTAATTAAAACATTACGCAATAAACAAGTGTATGCACTGGCATGCAAGTGGGGTGCAAATGGCCTAGTTTCGACAAACTACCGTGCGTGCCACATCTCCCCTTTGATTCATAACAGCAAATCTTCGGCAGCAAGCAAAAACTGGAATAACTGACATGACAGTAAAGTTTGCGCAACTAGAAGGGTGCTGAAAACAACGCCTACCGAGGAAGTCAGCGACTACGGACAGGGCACCAATCCACAGCCCTCCGAGAGCAGCGGCAGTTGGGATGTGACGATTAAGTTCGTGGACCATGGAGTCTTCCCGGTGACCGGGAATCACAGTTTGTTGCTCTCTTAATTGTTTCGCAACATCCTTTGCGCTTGAATTAGAGACGTCGATCCATATTTTGCTGAAGAATGCGCAGCTGCCCAGCATAAACGCGATATATATAACACCATGGATAGGATCCATCAACATTTGCGTAAAGGAGTCCGGTGGTGTCATGTAATAGCATAGACCACCAATGGGTGCTGAACGCGAACCGCCTTCACCGTCCGACCAAATGCCCAGGAGATTTATTAGAAAATTGCCTCGGAATTTGCTAGAGAGCATCTATAACCAACGGTAAGCTTGTTCAGTATAAAAAGTACCTGTGATATGACATAAAGGTTAGAAACCAAGGCGCTCTGTAGCATAATTGGCGCATTACTGGTGTAAAAAAGTTTGATGGGGTATGAAGTTGACTGTCCCCGATGACGAATGGACTTCACCGCAATTTCCACACGGAAACTCTAAGAAAATAATGTAAACGGGGCAAAACAAACCTGAAAATATATAACGACAGCAAAGACCAAAACAGTAGCGAGAATATTCATGAGGTTCGGCAAGTTCTGGCGATAAAATGCTTCACGGAGGGCACGAACTTTGTCCGTCCGCGTCGCCAAAAGATGGAAAAGGGAAATGATAGCCCCCTCGAATTCGGTACCTGATAGGTAAGGGACACCTAACTTACTGGACCTTACCTCGACCTGTGTTAATTGTCGTCGGGCTAAAGGCTTTCCAAATGATCGTTTCGCAAATGTTAGTGGCTATGAACAGGGAGATTCCAGAACCCAGACCATATCCCTTCTGTAGCAGCTCGTCGAGCATAAGAACGAGAAGGCCAGCAAAGGTAAGCTAAAGGATAAACCAGTAAGGGATGGCAGTACCTGGAGAATGATCAAAAGACAGATTCCTGCACCAAGGTCACTGGGGGCACCGTATATGCCCGACATGACGTATACAGAAGCTTGGCCAACGGTTATTACCATACCGAAGACTGGATAAGGTAAAAAGTTAATCGCCAACTTACGTTTCTGAGCCCCATTAAATAGTGCTCTGTCTTTGGGGGCATCACCAACGGATAAAACTTGGATCCCTGCCAAGAGCTGCATAATCAGGCCAGACGTGATTATCGGCGATATGCCCAGTTCCATCAATGTGCCCTTGTTAGATGCGGAAATGACTCGAAGCCAATAAAGAGGGTCAGCTGACTCTGACGACATAATCCCGAAGAGGGGAATTTGGCAGCAAAACAGGAAGATCATTAGGGTAATGCCCGTCCATAATACCCTTTCGCGGAACTGAATCTTGCGCTCGGGCCTGGCGATTTCCGGCAAGATGGCGCAGAATGGTTTGACTATATCAAGGAATCGGACTACAAAAGGGCAGTTCAAAACCAGTGATGCACGACTCACCCCCCATCCTTGCAAGCAGCAGCGACAAAGTGCCTGCGTCTACGCGTTGTGCCTCGTAGATGACTTTAGCACATATAAACAAAACACCCCGGCATGACCTGTCCAACAACCTTGCCAAGTATAACAGTAGTCCAGGACGTATTTCTCAATAAAACGCGTTGATAGTGACTTACACTGTCAGTGGCGCCCTTTTAACGGCAAAAGCGAACCATCCTCCATTCTGAATATTTTGAAAGTTTGCTTTAGTTAAGTCGCCTTTTTAAGGAAATAAGATTATTGCCCTTGAGCACCCTACTCCTATCCGAAAATATCAGCAGCAATTCTGCAAATTTGAAAGTCGTCGGTATGTGTGAGTCAGGCGCAAGCCACCACCAGTGACATAATCTTGAGTATATGTGCAAAAGTTTCACAACAAACGATCATCTAGTTTGCCTTTAAATGTGTCAAGAATTTCGGGAAGGGCCCCAGCGTCACATAGCCCATTCCAAATTCTAGAGACCTTCTGCGACAGGACTTCAGTCGAATGTCCGCGCGGAACAATTTTCTCTGTAATTTAGAGGGATGACCACGCAGGCCGTCCGTCTTAGTCAAATCGAAAAATAGTCACGAGACTCAAGGCCACATTCACAACCTCTGACAGTCCGGCAGGTTTGCTTGGGACCACCGCACAGTCGACTGTAGTTGAGATGAACAAGATTAAGTTCAGTCACTCTGGCCTCGCAAGGCAGATGACCGAGGTTCTTGACCATCTTCGTAGCACTGAACTGCACTCATTCCAGCTGCTGATAGTCCCTCTTACACCAGGGAAGGAAGGTCTGGACGACATACCCCAAGTGAAAACGAACGAATGATTCGTAAGTTTCTCCAAACAGTGCTTTTTATCCACACAAATCATCGTCTCAGCGCGGATAACATCTTTGTCCTCCACTCAACTGGCATAAACACGGTGAAAATGATTCTATCATGGAGGCCATTAAAACACTGATATTCATATGTTCCTCAACGTGTGAAAGGGCCGGCTCATCAAGGGGATATCTGAGGGAAACCACCTCCTCAATGTTTTTCTGATACGGAGTGTCAGAACCCCACATCTACTAATGGTAAAGTTGAAGAACCAACCAGCAGCTGCATCGGTTGAGACTCTCTTGAAGCATAGGCTCGCCTACGACGGGTCTTATTGTCCACCATAGTTTGAAATCGTCAGAAAAAATGACAGCGTTTCAATCCAAGTCGCTCGGGTAGTCGCTTATTGAGACTAGGCAGAGGGACGGCCCTAAGACTCAGCCCAGGTAGACACCACTTAGAACGCAGGTAGGGGTTGACTTCGGGGCACCAATGCACACGGTTTGCGATCTCACTGTAAGAAAATCCACCACCTAAGTCAACAGTTTGCCTTTTATCCCAATGTCAGATAACTTGTAGATTAAAATCTCGTGTTGGACGCTGTCGAACGTCAAGCCGCTAGTTGTAAGCCCGAAGATAAGTGGACAATATTATTTAAAACGCTTTTTTTCAAGGGATAAAAAGACTTCAAGTCTGCTTTTGAGTACATTTCTCTTAAATAAGGCCTATTTCGATAAAATTATCGGTTGCCATTACCTTTTTCAGTTCCGTTAGACTGTGCCTGCTGACTGCTACTCACAGTTCGCAATTTGTGCAATAGAACTGTCTCCAACGATTTACATTTTTACACCGTTAACCTGTCACTGAAATTCGGCCATCAGAGCTGTCAGAAGTTTTAGTTTATTGAGACTTGCCTCGAGATAAGATGGGAGCGAAAGTCACAGGTCGGCGAAAGGTCTTGGCCCCTGTACCTAGGCGTGGGTTAATCGTATCTAGGTCAGAAAGTATTAATAGCCATTTGTTATCCGTCGCTATTGGCAGGCAGCAATTTCAGTCTGCGCCATATAATTGCAACGATTTTATGCTGAAGTTTGGCTCTACGCTCCAAGTTCTCCGACATTCCCTCTCAAGAACGTAAACATCTTGACATATTAGTTCACTTGGTTGTCAGTGAATAAAGTGACAGATTCAAAATCTGCCAAAATATCAATGAATTACGCGAGCCTGGTAGTCATCTGGCGGATTCTAGGTGAATTACTTAGGAAATCCTGCTCGGGCAGTCAACTTACTTTATCAGATTTGGTGGATTCCAGACGTTGCAGTAGGTTGGGCGGGTACCTTGACCCAAAATGTGATTAAACTCGCGTCGTCCGGCGGGGCCTCATAGCTCAGGTGGTTAGAGCGTTGGCTGCGCTGAAGCCTTCCCTTACTGCGTGGGTTCGAATCCCACTGAGGCGCCGAGTTTTTCATAGTTGGGTCAAGATGAATAAAGTGACAGACAAAAAAACGAATTATAACTTCGTTTTGGGAAATATTCCGTAGTCTGCGCGAACAGTTGATGATGCGGTCGATTTCCTATGCTTGCTTGGATTCAGCTGTAAAATAGCAGATGCCAAACGACTGGCATCCCATGGCAAAATTCGCCTATCCTGGTTAAACGGTTTTCAGCAATCAAGGTTGATTCGATCTTTGCCCACCGAGATCGTGTTTCTGCATACCTGGAAAATACAAAGTATTTCCTTGGTTATGATCTCACACACATGGAGCAAAGAACTGGATCCCTTTTCTCAAATAAAGCCTCGTCTTCTCAGCTAAATATTCACCAATTCGATCATAATACAAGTTACCGTGCGAAATCCGACTCAATACTCCATTTTATTTCAAGTTACTTGGCAAGGATAATTGGCAAAGCCTTTACAAAACCCCGTATTTTTCATGCCACTATGATATGCACAACTGAAAACATTTAATGGCGCTAGTAAAATAGTACTTACGTGATTCCAGTGGTTTTGTTTTTGAATGCGAACTTTCTCTGTTCGCAGAGAAATTAGTCCAAGTTCGGACTCCCGAGGGAGAACAGAGGACACGAATAATCATAAAAGCATTTCTCCAGGGGCTGCAAGGGTGTCGCCTCCACGACTGATTGAGGTCATCCAATTTCTCCACCACTCTGTGTAAAAATCTAGACTGAAGATTCAGTCTGGACATTTTGTGCATGGCTTCAGCAAGTGACCATGAACATTGGCGAAAGGTGTCACTGAAACATGTGCTTAGATCTTAGTCCATGCCTAAGCCATGCATTGCGTTGTAAACCAGGATAAACTCGCCTCTTTGCTACTAATAACACAGAGGAATAAATTAGGACAGTTCAGTCTTTCTATGTAAGACTAGTTTTCAAACCCTTTGCCAGCTTTTTTGCCCGTGCTGCACTTTTCCGAATATGCTTGGTCCTCTGCTAGCCATAGGTGCCGCGCCTGTTCGCCGTATTCTAGACGAGGCGGAACAAATATGCCATAAACTCCCCCAAGAGGGTCTTTGTCAAAGATGGAAAATGTCCTTTTGACCACATGGAGTACTCCCATGGCGTTTTTTTGCAGCTTTGCTGCACTGCAGTGCTGGTTTTATACTGCTCTGCATCGAACGCCGAGATCCCTCTGCGAAGATTCTGTTGGAATAATAATGTCTTTCGGGTGGTATGCCCTCATGCTGTCATTTGAATGGCAGTTGGTTGGACGCAGGTGAAGGGCGGCACACTTCTGCACACTGAAGTCCAGAAGTGATTTTTCGGGCCCCGTTTGCAGTTGGCGCAGATTATTTTGAAGTTCTTCCCGGTCATTCGGACCCCTAATGAACTACCAGACCTTATCGTCGTCGGCAGATATTATTTTGCCGTAGCCGAGTTCTGGAAGGCTGTCATTAGCATGAGAGATGAAAAGAAGGAGTCCGAGAACTGTGCCCTGAGGCACACTAATAGTCATGTTTACCCACTCTAACATATCATCTCCGATACAGACACGATGTTTTCAGCCAACCAGGAACACGCTTACCCTGTTAAACAAATCTCCCCAGATATTGACGCCGACCAGTTTACGAAGAAGGCGTCAGTGAGGGACAGTGTCGAATGCTTTGCGGAGATCGATGTACACGACATTGACCTCGAAGCCCTCTTCTAAAGTCCCGATACAGATCTTCAGGCAAGTTAACAGATCTGGGAGACAGGATTGTCCTCTCCAGAAGCCATGTTAAAAATTCTGTAAGATATTATTTTCTTAACAAGACTGCTATTTAGCACTCTTTACTAGAACTTCCATCGTTTTGTAGAAGAGGCAATTCATGCCAATAGTTCTGAAGCTGCTTGTTGCCATACTGCCGCCTCCCTTATGTGAGGAAATGAGGTTGGCTGCCTCCCACTGCGAGTACATTCGCCGTGTTCTCAGTGACAGCTCAAAGAGAGTTGAAAGAGGCCAGCTCTGCTAATAGTTACTTAAGTATCAGACCGGGAGTCTCATCGGGTTCAGGAGACTTGTCTGGTTTAATTTGACTGAGGACGCGTCTTGCTTCTTCGACGGAAGAGGCAACGGTTTCAACGACAGCTGACGTGCCCAAAAAACGCCTTTATTTATATGACGAATTCCCTTTTCAGTCGGCGCTCCAAAGATGTTCTAGCAGCCCGAGTTTGATTACGGCACTTATTACATCGCTTCCTATATTCGGTGAATATTATGAGATCATGAAGATGTAATTACCTTTTACACAACCTCCTTTCTTTTTCGTGATCTTTTTCGTCATCGGAGTGACCCACGACGGTCGCGCGCACGGTATCATTATTTTTATAGTACAATGGGATTAAACTAGACGCTCTCCAATCTCTCGAAAATACAACCAGAAGTCTTCTGAGTCTCCTATGTTGACTGGCCAGGGCCCCCGAGACAGCAAGTCTCATTGTGTTAAAATCACTCTTTCAAATGTTTCTGCAGCACTTCATTTGTGGTTGTGGGCTAGATATGAGAGAGTAAACGCAGGTAAAAGCAATGCGGTTATTTAAACTGAATGGAGGTTTTTCATTCATTTATCACATGGTTCTTTCTTTTTACTGTGAGCGAGATCTAGATAATTAGATCGTTGTCTTTTTCTCAGTCTTGTTCCGAGTTTTATGTGTTGAAT